GACAGCTATGTTTCTTTTGGGAGGGAAGACGTGGATGAGTTTACAACTTAGAAGTACGTTTTACCTCTTTGTTGGTCGGCTATTCTTGAAACCAATATGGTTGATTGATTCGAATGAACCTGACGGTCTAATCTTTTTGACAGGTATGTTGCACAATAAATATTATTTCAGGACCACACTGAAAAAAATAATATGCTGTTTTAGCACCTGGGATGTCAAAAATGTGTCTGATGATCCCAAGATGCTGCCTTTACTGCCCTCGCAGTTAACTTAACATCCTATGAATGCGAATTCAACTGCGTGGGAAATTAAGGCAGCATCTCAGGATCACCAGACACCTTTTTGACATCTTAGGTGCTGAAACAGCATACCATTTTTTTCAGTACATTGAAAATACACAATTTAAAGAATCGATAAAAAGCGGCCAATGATATGTTAAAATGTAAAGAATCACCGGTGACTGAACGGAACGAGAGAACACGAGAGTATTTTGGTTTCATTTTCCACTTAAAAAAAGAAGAAAAGAAAAGAACCAAGTAAGAAAAGCTGAAAATAAGAAATTTCCTAACGATTTCCCTATTCGCTGCCATTTTATACTCATAAGAATCAAAGATTCATCACTAGTAACCCGTTCCCTCAGATTACTCAATTGACTTTTAAGCCTATATTTACATGTTGAACCAATCGATATCAAGATCGTATTGTCAATACGATCTTACCTGTTTGACGTATTGAATACGATCTATTGTTTTCTGGTACTCCCGTGAATTTTGGAGCTCGTCAGTAAATGAACAATGAACATGCGATTTTTAAGATGAACCGATCCCATTGTGCATATCGAATATTCTAAGTATCGCTTGTGCTGTTGTCGATTCTCGAGAGTTGAATGATCTCGGACGCCAGAGCGCGCTCTATGCCAACTTCGAAGCTCGGGGGAGTGGAGCGGCTCCGAAGGCTGAAAGTTCGCGCACCTCCACTTCCACCTCCACACCGACGCACAGTAGATCGATTCAATTAAAGAGGTCGAACATGCAATTGTTTTACTACAACTGCAAACTTTGATGCTTATTTCGTCACATTTTAATGTTTCAGGGGTGCTTTGAGAGGAAATTTTCACGAGGAAACCAATGGAACCACTTTCAGAATCTCAAATTTTTGCATAAATGGAGTTGTAAGCGTTTAAAGTTTCCAAATTTTGTCCGACCTATCTGTTGACTCGGTCCACTGTGCGACGGGGGAATCCCGCGCATGAAGGCGGCCCGGTCGCGTGTTGACCGTCTGAAACACGTTTTGAAACGACGGATCCGAGTGGTCTTCCATACGACTTTTCCGCCGGTGACGAATCGCCGCGCGATAATTGGTCCGAAATCGAGAGCGGCGTTGTCGTTCGGGAATACTCGAGTTTTTGAGGGTCACGAACTTTGTTGTTTAACCTACTTATACTTGGGCCCCTCATCACCTTTAGACGAAGCTAAACTGGACGTAAAAAATAGTATGCTGTTTTAGCACATAGGATGTCAAAAATGTGTCTGGTGATCCCAAAATGCTGCCTTTACTGCCCTCGCAGTTAACTTTACATCCTATGAATGCGAATTCAACTGCGTGGGCAATCAAGGTAGCATCTTAGGATGACCAGACACATTTTTGACATCCTAGGTGCCAAGACAGCATACTATTTTTTTCGGTGATTTCTTCCAAACAAATGCCGCCTACAGTTGGCACATAGATCCGCTAGCTGAATTAAAAAAGTGGACTTCTACATTCTGTCAAACGGAACTTTGTGACGACTAACATAGCACTCATGAGCCATGCATACGTAATGAGAGCCTTGTGAAGAGGGCTCACGAGTTAATGACGCCGAAGAGCGACAACGGCTCCGGCTCCTTCGCCGCTGACGCCACTGGGCGTCTTCCGTTGCTTGGCAACACTGCACCAGGGGTTTCACTCGTCCTCTCCTCATCATTTGGCACGTGTTTCTTTTGGCCAGGTGAGTCGGGGAATTTGTAGCTCATTTAATGGCTCACGGCAGTACATGTCTCACGTGCTCAAAAAAAGTTAGGGCCATCGTTTAGGATGCAGTTGCGCGTAAGGGTTGATATTCATTATTTTTTTTTTTTTTTTTTTTTTTTTTTTTTTTGAAGGAGATAAATATCAAATCTTAAACTTTTCACGGAGTTTTCCCCGCACAGAGAAGAAAAATTACTGAAGTTTGCAAGGGTTGCCTTTGAGTATATTTCCATTTAAAAAATAAAGTATTACAGGAAATCTGCGATACACAGTGCAGTTTTTTAAACTGCCAGTTTCGTGACCGGGATTGTCGCACCGCCTGAGATCGATGGAACGATTGACCTTACGATCTAATTTAATAGTTCTGCGCTCATCTCCTTCTTCTAAATTTTTGTTTTCAGCTTTTTCTCCTGCTGGGAATGAGAGAATAATTTTTCCAAAACGTCCTGCCGGTCTTTTAGTTTTATTTCAGCTTTAAAGCCCTTTTTTCTGGATTTTCTGTATTCAAGCGTTGATTTGAATTTCTACCCGCTTATTGATTTTTATCATCCCATTAAAGCAGCCGGATCGCTAATTCAAATACTAACTAAAACACACTTCAATTATGCAGTCAAAACTATGAAAAAATATCAAGGGAAAGCGGTCACCGCAGGCGTCGAGGCTACCTCAATTTTATTCTTCCGTCAGTCACGTTTGTAAGGCGCAATGATACAACTATACGTACTCTCCGGAGCGCGGGAGGTATCACGCCACACTTGAAGGCGTTTTTTAAACTGCCAGTTTCCTGACCGGGATTGTCGCGCCGCCTAAGATCGATGGAACGATTGATCTTACGACCTAATTCAACAGTTCTACGCTCATCTCCTTGTTTTAAATTTTGGTTTTCAGTTTTTTCTCCTGCTGGGAATGAGAGAATAATTTTTCCAAAACGTCCTGCCGGTCTTCTAGTTTTATTTCAGCCTTAAAGCCCTTTTTTCTGAATTTTCTGTATCCAAGCGTTGATTTGAAATCCAAAAAACCTTTTATTTCTACCCGCTTATTCATTTTAATCATCCTATTAAAACTACCGGATCGCTAATTCAAATACGAACTTAAACACACTTCAATTATGCAGTCAAAACTATGAAAAAATATCAAGGGAAAGCGGTCACCGCAGGCGTGAAGGCTACCTCAATTTTATTCTTCCGTCGGTCACGTTTTTAAGGCGCAATGATACAACTATACGTACTCTCCGGAGCGCGGGAGGTATCACGCCGCACTTGAAGGCGTTTTTTAAACTGCCAGTTTCGTGACCGGGATTGTCGCGCCGCGTCGACTAAAGAACGACCAACAAAAATGAAAAGATTTTCATATTCGACTCTCCTTTATCCAATCTCCCTCTGGCCGGGAGCAATTGGACCAATAAGAATCGAATGAAAAAATTGGCGTTTTTTTTCAAACCTCACGCCAAGACTGAAACGAAACGGAACGCAGCGTTTCGTCGCTTTTGGATAGTCTGGAGCAAAGCAGCATACCTTCGATTCATTTACCTTACCCTACTAACAGACCAAGATTCAACATTTCCCGCCTACTTCAAATTTTGCCCCCTTTTCTAAGCTTTCTGGTCTCCTCTAATATAATAAGACCTGGGTCCTATTTTCCAAATCTGATTAAAGCGGGCTCATCTAGGGCTTATCTTCTGTCGATTACCGCAAAGATCCTGGTACCTACTCGGCTCGGTAGAACACTCGAAAGGACTGTGACAAAAAATATAAATTTACATTGTTTAAATGGGAGAATTCGCAACTCTATACCACGTAATATAAAAAAAAACTGGGTCATATTTTGAAAATCTGAATAAAGCGGGCTAATCTAGAGACAACTGCCCATTGATAGGCGCAAAAATCATGAAAATTGGCTCGGTGGAACGCTGGAGCTAGGTCTTACCAGTTATGCAAAATTAGGAGGTCTCGGAGCTTATAGTATAGGTATTTGTAGAAATTAAATGCGCCTGGTTTTTGCTTTTTGGTGTCTTTTAGTGCGTGTTGCATACTCAACCTCTGAAAATATGTTTCACATTCTTCGCAAAATTGTGGAATTTCATAAAATATTTCATATTTTTCATTTCACCCGTGCAACCATGGATACGTCCATCTACATGATAACTATATAAGGAAAATAACCTTTATCTGCTCCAGGCTGTGTGATGGTTTGTTTCGCCATTTCGTCCTCCGTTCTTAGTAGCACCTAAGTAGAGAATTTTCTCCGAGCCACGGCTCCCAAACTCAAATCGTAAATTTTGAATCTCTATAGGTATGTATCACTGTATGTGGACGACCCTCGCGCTCGCCTGATTGCGTCCACTCATACTTCAATCAATTTGGGGGTAAAGGCAGCTTAATATGGCACCCAAGACGTCTCGATTATCAAATAATTTGGGAGGGGGGGAGGATCCCCAATGGTTCTCTATTTATATTGCACAGCGACCCCCCTACATGAATCGCCTTTCTGTAATCCTTCCCCCTTTCCCCCACACATTAGAATTCAGTTCCCTGAATCAAAAATGATAACTTTTTGTTTTATATTTAAAGTGTGTAATGAAATTGAAAGTGATGCAAAAGAAAAATGAAATAATAAAGTCATCGAACTTACGAAATCTGCCACCTCTTTTCTGTTATTTGCTTTCCGCGCCTCCTAATACCATCTTTTCATAACTTCCCGCCAAAATTTTGAACCGAGGCAGCGCAGTTTGCTCCTCCACTCAGTGACAAGATTTTCGATTAAACCATGCGTACATTAATCATTTATTTGGAGGTTGTGACAGTTGTTAGGAGTAAAAGTAACTGGTCATAATTATTTATGTGAAAATATTTTTAAATCTTCATTTATTCTGGAAAAACCACCTGAAACCAAACTAAAACTAACGTCGTTGAATTTAGAGTACCTACATGAATTGTGTTGCAAACTTGCTGTGCTGTCATATCATCGATGGCCGATGGTTGATGACGTCAACATATTTCGTGTGTTTACGGGATTCCGTAAAAAAAGTGGGAAAGTGTTGTTATCAGTAATTTTCCATTTTTCAGTTGTTTACTAAAACTTTGAAAGTTGTCATGGAAGTTGGAATTTTTTGATAAGCCTGCCAAGCAATGGCAAACGTGAGAGACAGTGATACTTCTCTGTGGCTTCACAATAAGCTTGGAACATCCAATGACTCTTGGACAGGAGGCTCAATATGCTCTCAATTGAATGCTGAAGTTTTAAGAAATATCAAAGAATGCTTTCCTGACTTACAAACTCAAGTCAAACTCAAACTACTCCTGTCTTTTTTTCACATTCCTCGAAGAAATGTAGCCGAAGTAAGTCATTTAATTCATTCTCAAACTCACTCTCCATTCTATCATTCTTCACAGCGCCATAAATTTAGGCTCAAAGTGTTTGTTAACCCAAGTAAATTACAGGCAAACATCTCCCAGTTATCCTGATAAGTCTTGCTGGTAGGATTGTACGCCCATTTACGTCGTAAAGTCAGTAGCAAGTTTGGCGTTGACAATCGGTTCATATCGGTTGGTGTTACATAACCTCACTTTTTCCCTTAGAGTCTTCTGGCGAATCAAATATTTTACTACAAATCAGTCGGCAGGGTATTTAAAGATGGCCAGACACCCAATGCTTTCTCCTAATTATTGAATGTAAAAGCAAGAACCAAGATGGTGGATCTCTTGTAACTCAGAAAGCAAAATTGCGTATCAAGCGAGAACACAAAATGAATACCAGGCAGCGGAAGGGAGCAGGAAGTAATAGTTGTCACAGACTACATTCAATAGTAGATTTTTTTGTATTTCTGCCTTTGTTTGAGTTAATTGAAGATTACTCAAACCTAGGCGTGTTTACTAGCGCCTCAAAGATATCACAACCTGAGCTAAGGAAAGCATCATGAGTGTTTTTAGTTACTTGGGAAAAGAGTCATAAAAATGTGAGTGTAGCCTCTCAGGAGGGCTGTAAGCAATGTGTAGCTTCTACTTTGAGGTTAACAGCATCAGGTATCAGACTTGACAGGTAACATCCTCCTTTATCTTGAGGTTCTTTGTTTTCAGCATCTTTAGAAGCTGTGATGAAAATAATTTATTTCACTTTCCTGATTGATGTCAAAGAAATGAAGATGGAGTACTAAAAGCTAATAATAAAGTGCCTCTCATTGGTTGAAAATATTGTAACAAAACCAGGACCACTTTAAAATTTGTAAACAAGGGGAAAAGATGGGAGGTTTTTACGGCGCGCATTTGCACACTCAAGCAAGCGCACAGCGCCAGGTTGGCTTTACGATAGAAGTATGCCTTCTTTATGTCTTTGATTCACACTGTGTTTGTAATTTAGGACTGGAAGCTGCCAAAGTGAATTTCATTTCATTTGTCACGGAAAAATACTAAGTTTAATTTTTTGCCTCTATTTTCTTCTCCAAGATAATTCTGAAATCTCTAAGTAGATTACTAAAGCTTGTTTTATTATGTTTTTAGTGGAAATCTGAATTAGAAGAAATTCTGGAGGTTGCCCTAATTGATTCTGAGCAATGGGTTTCGATGCTTGCTGAAATGATGAAGACGTACCCAGCCACTGGAACTCTTAATACCAACATCTGTGAGCTAGAAGAGAATAAACGAATTTTCTCCGATCTGGTCAATGATTTAAAAAAATTGGGTATGCATTTATTCTGAATACCTTTTACCTCAATGATCGTAATGCACTTGTGTAGTCCCTTGTGTAAACCAATTTTTATATACTTCCAAAATCCTACTGTTAAAAGTATGGTTCAACGTTTAGTGTTGAAATATAACAGGTAACTAGTATCAGAATACTGCTACACTAAGTAAAAACGCAGTATGAACCTTGAGATCTTGCCGAATTTCACCTGATAATGTATGCATTTTCAATGAAACTTGAGAATATTTTTCCTCCAATTTCTTAGATATTTTCATGCAAAATTTGATCTGAAGTATCTGAAAATGTCAAAGAAAATTATTCACACTTCTGCTCACAAGCGAATTTTTCATGAGAAGAAATTTTGCATCATCCGCATGTTCATACAGCATTTTACCTTACCATGGTAGAATAGTTCCTCAATTTAAAATGCTTGTAAGTAAGTGCAGGTTTGTAGGCCCATTCAGAAAGTTCTTTGGAAGAAAAATTAGATGGAAGTTTCCTCAACCTCGGTAAATTTTCCTCACCCCACACAAAAGTCAAAAGTGTGTGACTCGGCTAGAAAATTTCAAAAATTATCAGGGCCTCCTGTTTTTTTCTGATTTGTTATAGAAAAAGGAAGGAAATAATTTTCATCAAAACATTCTCTCATGCCCTGTGGAAGGATGAAGATAAAATCAGTCAGAAAAAATGAATTGTAGGAAGACATGTTTGGGAGAAATTGAAGACTGTTTCCTTGTTGATATCTTCCCAGTATCAAAAGTTCAATAATGATGAATATCTCATCCATTAATTTTACAGGTTATTCGCCTTCACCAGCTTACCTACTGTATTTTTTTAATTTTCTAGTGCGCAAACAAAATGATCTCGGAATGTTGCCGTTGGAGTGCCATTATCTCAACAAATCTGCGCTTGTGAGCAGTGTTGGCCAACAGGTAACCTCATTACGTACCTTTATTACCTCTATAATGAAAAAAAATAAACTTTACAAAACTTTATAAGCCTTAAGACTCTTTTCTGAATCAATCAAAATTTTTACCTGCTTGCTTTTCTGAGACACCAGTTACAATTCTCTCTTTCCAGCAACTAGACAAGGTCCACACTAGAAATAAATGTCACATGATTTGCTTCAAAATTTTACATAGAAAACAATATACATAATAAGACGTTTAGATATCAACCTCTGAACAGGATATCAACAAGTTCTTGTTTTAACACAGATCAAGTATAAGTTAAATTATACAAATTACGTCTTTTGTATTTTTTACATTTATTCAATTCAATATTTCTTGTAAATACATCTCATTACATCTTGTTTAAGAGTTTATTTCCAGACTGTTATGTGATTCACTTTCCTTGTGAAATTTTGAAGATAAAATATGGCGTGTAGTGCTATAAGTAATTCATATCTAGTGTTGCAAGGAAAACATCTGAATGAAATTAGGTTTATGTAAGCAATAATTACCAAGTAATTATTATTGTGGCCTCAGCTTGGCAAAGGGAAAGGTACCTCGTTTTGAAAACATCACATCGTCCAATGCCAAGAGCTTGAAAGTAAAGTAAACAACCAGCTAAAACACAAAAACCATGATCCCTAACTGCAAACTTGAAGTATTATTTAACAGTTTAAAATGTAATCTTAATACTCGTGCCCTGTAGAACATGTGTAAAATGACGTTATTGATGGGGAAATGCTAAGCCTCTGTGGCACTTTTGATTTTTTGGCATCTCTATTTCATATTCCTTTTAATTTTTCGTTTCAGTCTGGACCACCAAAACACTTTACATTAAAACGTAAGCCTAAATCAGCTGCCCTGCGAGCTGAGCTCATGCAAAAATCGGCAGATGCAGCTAGTAATTTGAAGAAAAGTGCTGCAACTACCGTACCCGTTCGATCAAGAGGGATGCCGAGGAAAATGACTGATACAAGTATGTTTCAATTAAAAGATTCTTATAGCATCTTGCAGGGTTACCACAGTCAGGGAATACCAGCAAAACTGGAAAATGTCAGAGAATTTTGTAAGGCCAGAGAATACCAGGAAAACTGGAAAATGCCAGGAAATTTTAAAAGGTCAGAAAAAACATGGAAATATAAGAGGAAATGAGGAAAGTGTCGGAGAAAAATTGTTGAGTCACCTTTGTTTTTTTTCTCGAAAGAGTTTGACGTTTCGGATAATAAATTTCGCGTCGAAACTATTTCAAACTATGTCCTTTTTCCTTGATCGTCAGGAAATTGTATCCAGATGTATCACGGAAATCAGGAAATTTATTTTTCCAAATTCTTTGGCAACCCTGTTTCCATCTCTAAGGATTATATCTTACCCATATGGTTGATTATTTAGGCACCTTGCCTTGCTTTTAGGATGTTTGAAGTATTCTTTAGTCTACTTTAGAATGTACCTATCGACATCTGTTGTCTACTTTTTTGTTTGCCATGATTTTTGAGCAATTTAAATATCAATTCCTCTTTTTGCTTAGCAACTATTTGCAGCAGACTCACCAAACAAGTCACCAAAAGCATTAACCATTCTAATTGCTTCAGCTGCTACTCAAGACAAGCCAATTACCGAACTGTGTAGGTTGATGAAATCAACAGTATGTTGATTATCAGTCATCAACAGTTTAATTTAACATGTTATGAAGTAGATTAAACTAATACTCTGCCTGATTCATTCATATGTTTGCTCCTTTGGTTTATTTTTACTTTGGCAAAGAATTTTTGCAAGTAAGTAGTATAGTTTTTCCTACATAAAATTTTGTGAAAAAATAAAAAAATTCATTTAATGTTAAAAAAATCATTTCTTCGGAGAGTAATAGATAATTCAAATCCAACCAATTAAAATTGGCCAGTCGAGTTGACGTAGCAAAGCGATGCCTGAAGTTGAGATCAACCAATTAGCCAATGCCATTTTCCCTTCCTGGCTTTGTCTTAAGAAGTGGCCAAAAATATCATGTCAAATGGGCTCCATTTTTGGTATGTTCAAAACAGGGCTCTTTTGTCATTTAGAGTTAATAAAAAATCTGAATAAATTCCTAGAAGCTTGGTCCACTGGATACTTTGAGAAAATGGACTAAAAGATAAAAGGTGCCACTGACCCATTGTGCTTCTTCTCTGCCCATTCTAACTTTTTTTGTTTGTGTTTAGCTCCATTGAAAGGAATTCCAAGTCGAGTGCCAGATGGCGGCGGTTTCAGATCCTTGCCAACAGCTTCTCCAGTTTTACCGAGAGGTCCTTCAATTCGGAAAGATGGTGGTATCAAACTGTTAGATATCACGGAGCAACCTATAGGATATGCCCAAGCTAAAAAGCGGAAAAGGATGCAAGGTATAGTTTCACTTTCTTCGTTCTAGATACTGCTGTTTAAGTTTTTATATAAAAGTAACATTACTCAGTCAACTTAAAACAGTCTTTTTGCAAAACTACCTCGGTGCAGAAGATCTCAACATTCAGGCCATTGCATCAGGTATTTTACAAACATTTTGACCCATAAAATGTCCAAAATGTTCAATCCAAATTGAACCTTGACCAATGAAAATTACTGTCTCTTTCTTGCCTTACCTGCGAATGTTATAACTGATTGTTTTGAATTATGACTGTTTTGAATTTGCAGCTAAATAATCTAGTGCAGATGGGAAGGAAGTGAAATTTAAATAATTTCCAAGGTTAAGGCGCAAAAACGTTGGGTTAAAATGCAATTTCACTGACATGTGAGACAACATGAAATTACCTCATCAAACAAATACTGTACTCGTGTAACCAGAGCCAAGAAAATGGCAACTATATTTTTTCATGACAGAGTGGATCTAATCAAGGGTCATATCCTTAATATTGAACACTAGAATGTAATCTTTGACCGTAAAGACAGGGCTCTGTCAACTCCATTACCAGGTCGTATGTACTCAATGGAGTTAATTTCGAAGAGGGAATTGGAGTAGAATTTTTCTCCCAAAAATGAATTAAACGGCTCCTAACTCATTCTTTTTGGTAACAAAGTGGTAGTATAGTGCTAGCTTCAAATTATTCTGCTGCCAAATCAAGACTGCATTTTTATTAGATTCAAAAATCTTTTCCAATTTAAATTTTTGCATACACTTTTGCAACATAATGAAAATTTTTGGATTTTTTTTGCCTTTATTTTTTTGCAGAATAGTGAGACACAGTACTACTCTACCACCTTGTCACTGTTCAGGCCACATTTTTAGTATTTTTTCTTGTCTCATTTTTTAATATACCAGGAATTATTTTTCTTTCAAAATTCAAACATTGATTTTTGTATCTAGTTTGACAAAAGTACCTCATCTAAAAAATACGCCTCAGAAAAATTAGATGCATTTAATAGGAATCAACTAAAGTAACAATTGAAGACATTCCCTGAATTTCTCTTGTGTTTTTTTTTTTTTTTAATAGAAAACTATCCAACACTTAAAGCTGAAATTTTGTGATCATTTTTTTTACAATAGAGGATAAATTCACAGAACGCCTAAAGGCGCAAGGTAGTTAAGTTTCCTGTTATAAAAGAAAAAAAAAAATAGCTCATAGTATCAAAAGGGTTTATTCTCAAACTTTGTCTTTTCATGTTGCATTGATTAGTCTATTTATTTGTGTGTTCAATTAATCCTGTTTCACTAATATAAATACTGTCTTTCTCCTATCAAAGCTTTACTTACATGTCTTTGTTTTTGGAAATGCCCACAGAATTGGAAGATGCAAAACGTGCAGCTGAATTGGCACAAGCAGCTCAACCTGCGACTCAGGTCACAGCAGCACCTGCCACGCCTGCAACACCTGATTACGCAGCAGGGTTGACACCTCTCAATCCTCCAACACCCTTGCAACCCCCAGCAACCCCTGGTGTCTACGCTCCACCAACACCTTCTAATCCAATGACGGTCACGACACCAATTAAAGAACGTGAGTTTCTCTCCAGTTTTGTGAAATTTATCTCTTAGAATCGATGGCATATTTTATTTCCTGAAGTAATCAAATAAATTCAAGATACATTGGAGGCAGACCATGCTGTCAAATCAAACAGCATTGAAGAATCGTATCGTCCATTTCAGTTGTTCTGTCTTTTTGAAATTAAGAACAAAGCCTAGTCTATTGCGGTGTTTTCGAAAGCATGCATCTTTTTCTTTAGCGTAAAGAAAACTTAATTCTCGCACAATTATGAAACTTACAGGATTTGCTTTACTTAACAATAAAAATCTATTGATGGTAAAATAAAAACAACTTAAACTTTGAGGCGCTTTCCTGAAAAATAAAAAGTTTTACAATTTTGAAAACATCGTAATGGATTTGATCCCTTGGTGGTAAACGTAATCTGAACAAAAATCAGAGGATTTTACCCAAATAATATTGATTGAGCAAAAACTTCCCTTGATGATCCCTTGGATTATGTGTCAGTTTTTAAAGAGGAATTTTTAAAAATGGAATACATTTTTTCTATCCTACCACATTTTTGGAAATGAGATGCCTTGTTTTATTCTCATAATTGTTGCCAATTTAAATCAATCAGAAGTCTCAAAAACTCATTTAGAATGTGTTTTTCTATTCAGCATTTCACTGAGTCTCTGATCATCCTTATTTTTCTTCTAATAGCAACCACAAATGTCAGTGCAACCCCACCAGTATCAATCAAAACAGAAGTTATAATGACTTCTCCGCAAACTCCAAGCTCTGTGGCTTCCACTATCGTTCAACCACAGTCGCATCTAGTTACGCATCAACAACTATCACAACAGCAACCGCAACCACAACACCAGCAGCAACAGCAACAACAATCGCAGATACAGCAACCGCAACCTCAACCGCAGTTGACAACGCTGACTCAAGTCTCTTCCGCGCAAACTTCGCAGCTACAAGCATCAACACCTCAACAAACGCAGCCAACCGTACAGAACGTCATCTTCAGATCTCCTCACATTACTCAGCTCACCATTGCACCACCCAGCATCTCGCAACAGACCAATTTGGCCCTTACAGTGAGTTGACTTTATTTAAAGCCTGAAAAATGTTTACGGGAACTTTATTAAAGAAATTATAATTAAAATATCTTCAACGCAAGTGCCAAAGTGCAAATTGTTGATAATTGAACGTTGCCTCCTCAGTGCACTTATACAGGCCCTCCAGTTATTACAAGACAAAGTGACACAATAATAGAAACCGCTTTTTCCATTTAAAATGTATGAAAATGAAAAGGAAGTGTCCAAATGTCACTTTGTTTGTGACACTAGAAGACACTGTTTAAGGCATTGCTCTAGTTTACTGAATTTTCTTCTGTACAAACTTCTTCCTGAAAGTGTCTCCTGTTGTATGTTAAAAATCCTTCTTCTTTTAACCTCAAGTTTGATATTTTTCAGAGGGAGCAAATGATAGAAGCGCAAGAGATGTTCCAGACAGCAAACAAGGTCACAAGACCGGAAAAAGCCCTAATTCTTGGTTTCATGGCTGGTTCAAGAGGTATACCAATCAGTTCCTATCATTACAATAGAAATCTCTTACAATTGCTTGTATAATCTCTCTATACTTTAAAACTTCATTAATTTCTCTAGCTGAAAGTTTTAATTTGAAACATGAAGCAAACCTCTTTTTATTTTTTTCTCACTTATATGTAAAATAAATCTTTCATATGAATTGATGCATTGTGAATCCTCTGAGGCGGCAAGAGTGCGTAGACACATTTTCGGTTTTCATTTTCAATTTATTTCAAGTTTTGTATTTAGAGATTCCAGTTTTTAGCAAATTTCCTCTTCTATCCCTAGGATGAAGTTGTGAGCCTGTTAGTTAGGTTTTGTGTCCGGGGAGTGCATAAAGGTGCATTTTAATTCTAAATTCTGAACCTGTAACTTGACTCATCGATGGTTAGATGCAAAAAAATAGGTATCTAAATTCGCATCGTTTAATGATCTCCAATTATACCTCATGTTATTTCAAAGAAAATTTAATCAATGCGTTCTCTTTAGACTCTTGAGTGATTTTTGTCGGTAAAGAAGAAAGTTTTCTGGAAATTTCAATTGAACTTGTTGGTTGATTTTTCTTTAAATAGATAAAATATGAGCTGAAACTTACAAATTTACAAACTGATTTTTGCATTTTTCAACTTTAGCCATGTGTATTAAGAATTGAAATGGCTTATTTTTAGGACTACAGTTTTTGAACTGTAGCCTTAATATTATAATTGCATTTTGCTTTGACACTCTTGTGCTTTTTCATGCTAAGATATCCATGAACCGCCACTCTAAGCTGTTATATCAATATCTCAAATGTGAGTGTTTAAGCATGAGACCTCGTTTTTTCCTGTTTCTGTGGTCGGAAATAATGTGTATAGGTGTCATGAAATATAGATATTTATATTTTTCAAGACTGAAAATAATTGTTATTATCTCTCAGGATTTTTCTTATTTTTGAAGTTGAGCAGCAAAAAAATTTGACCTGCTGATCATATGATTAAAATATCAACTATTTTTCATCTCTTAATCTTTTTAAAGACCTTGCCATAAGTAATATTTTGAAACAGTTTTTGGTTTTTTCTATAGGTGTAATAATAAAACACCTCATCAAAACGTACGTCAATCAACTTCATTGTGTGTTCATTTGATTGCAGAGAATCCATGTCCGCAGTTGGGTAACATCGTGACAATTAAATTGAGTGAAAACTTGGAAAATGTCCTTCAGCAAGACAAGACTTACTTGACGATGTTGGTGGAAACCCACTTCCAAATGAATTACAACACTGGTGAATGGAAACGGATCAAAAAGTTCCGCAACATTGATGCCAACCAACTGGCGCAGCAAAGAGCAGCGGCTGCAGCGGCAGCAGCTGCTCAAGCCGCAGCCCAGGCTAACCATCCACACTAAAGAATGTGAGTCTTGTGTTACTTCTGAAAATGGTTTTTATCCTACTTTGTTCACTCCAAAAAATAGGTTAGATCACAAGCAAATATTATTCATACGTCATTATATATCGAAGATGAGACTGCAGGATAATGTTTCCTCTGTTTTCCATACTTCATTTTTTTAATGAAAAAATACTCAATGTAGGGCTGTGTGAATAGTGAATTTTCCGAACGAAGCGAATAGCGAATAATTTCGGCAACTATTCGCGAATAGCAAAGCGAATAACGAATAATTTAAGTCAATTATTCACAGCTACGAATAGTAAAACGAATAAGTGGGAATGACTTTTTTAAGTGTGAAAATCGCGAATATTACAAAAGTCGACAAAAAAAATGTGACTAATTTTTAAGAATTTTCCATTTGCTCCTACGCCTGCATAGAAAACAATGAAATGCTATGATAGTAGCCTAGGCTGTTAAGAATTTGTTCGAAGATCCCTGGATGCTGGCTTGACTGCCTCTGCAGTTACGTATGCATTTCCAGGATACGAAGGTAACTGCACGGGCAGTCAAGCTAGTATCGAAGGGTCACTAGACACATTTTAGTATTTTATTTTTTTCGCTGTAAATAAAAATGTGTTTATGAACTTTTTTTTTCAATTTCAGAAATTTCTGTGTCTTTCAATCCTTAATTTGGGCTCTTTGCTTATTCCCCCAATCGCAATCGCGCTCGCTGTTCGTAAACTCGGCAAAGTCGGTAAAGATCAAAGGAGATCCGCCGTTCGCGATGTCTCGGGTGGAAGTGGAAGCCTTACGCAGGTCCTCGCAACGTTTCACGATTACCACTCGGAAATTCGTTATTTTTGATGGCGCGAATATTTGAAAATTCATTCCTCGTGACGGCGCGAATATTTGAAAATGTCAGTTCAAAAATTCACTATTTGCGACGGCGCGATTATTCGCAATTTTGCGAATAGTGCGCGAGGCAGACGAAGCGAATATTCGCCGAATATTCGCTGCGCGAATAGTCGGAATTGCGAATATTCGCACAGCCCTAACTCAATGTCATTGTTTGAAAACTTCCCTGACTCTTCTCTGTACAAAGAATAATCCATGAAGCTTTTAAGCAATTGCTGACAAATTTGATGTATGTAAAAAAAATGGGAGCAAAGTTTTTGAATGTTGCAAACGAGGTATATGTTCCTGCAGTTTTACTATTGACACATGTATTGGAGGATGTTGGAACTTGACTCAGCGAGAAACTGGGGAAATGGGTGTTTAGCAGAAAAGTTCTCTTTGAAATTGTCTTCATCCGTATTGAGAAAATCCAAAAACCCCAAAAATTGGGTGCATTTCATTTCTTGGGTTTTTTTTTATTTTTTTTTCTTTAGGAAAAACCAGTTATCCACTCAGCAAACATCTAACCTTTCCAAAATCGAATTTGCTTCTTAAATCAGTGTAAATTAAGCAGGATTGTCAAAATTGGTCATGACTCACTCCAATTACTCTAAGAAACACTGAATGGCCTTTTTAACATCTATTCGAGACTTAGCTTTTTTTTTGTTTTGGATGCAATTGATGCTGTTTGATCTAAATCTGAGCACAAAGTTGCCTACTCTTTTCCTTTGAACATTTCACTAAATTCATCATGTGCAAAAACATGTAGCATCAGCAACAGACAATTTTGTGCTCGTGAAAAAATTGCAATGACCCAATCTTTGACACTGAATGTATCATGAAATACAACCTGTAACTTGAACTTGAGTACCTTCAATCTTTGACCAATATTAGGCCAAAAAAGGTTCTCAAGGACACATGGCCTTTACCTTAATTGGCTGAAAAATGTACCATCTTTCTTTTTTTCCATCAGAAATGTTAATCATGTCCATTTTCTACTTCTGTTGCAGGTCCAAGTATCAAAGGCATTTTATGTTTACCTGTCTAGAAAAGAATATAGTTTTTTTTTTTTTGTTTTAAGCTAGAGATGTTTGTAGCTGTCGTTGTGCTCAGAGCTCATTTAGTCTGTGATATTGAAACAATTTCAACCCCTTAATTACTCAAAGATAAATCTTACTGTGTACAAGTCTACATACTTACTCTCGCATCTTATTTTATTTATTTATTTTTTTTTAATTTTTTAAACATCCTGTGCAACCTTGCAAGGTATAAACAAGTTGAATATACTGGAAGTTTAGTGATGCAGCAGGTTATATTGTATGAGGGTTTTACCTTTTTTTTCCTCTTTATTTTTTTAAGCAGCCTGATACTTCGAATTTTTTTTTAATTTTATGTTCTGCTCTATTTTGCAGGAAAAACTGTCGAGCTATCATTATGATTCATAAAAACTCCTTTGTATATCTAAGTTCCGGTCATATTTCTGGACAGAAAGCATACTGCTAATCATTTTTGCTCTTGTGTTTTCAATTTTTCTGAGAAAATAATATTCGTAAAATTATACAATTTTTATCAGAATTTCACCAGGTGAATCGAAAGAGAATAAATAATTACCTACATTTCATCTCTCACCTTACCATCTATTATCGTAATATCTTCATGAACGCAGGGTACTTACTTTATACGAATCCTAATTTTTGTTATCCTTGATTTGTTTCCTTCAATCTTAATACAGTTTCCCTTTTGACCCACCCTCTCATTCAGTCGCTAAAGAGATTTAGAGGTACAGAAATACACTACTTACAAAATGGGAAATACTCAGCTTGTATTGAGTGCGAATAAACTTGAGAAGTGTTCTTATAATTTTCATGAAAAATCAATGAATTGCTGTTGGAGACTGTGACAATTAGTCTCCTTTTCTTTTTTCTCTCATAGATTTTCCAAAGGAAATCATGTAAAAAAAAAAAAAAAAATTTTATCGTCATGTTTAACACTGCTTGCACCCTCAAGTTGCTAAAGGGATTCATAAGTCCCTGTTTTCCTTATGATTTTTAACTTCCTGAAAAACATCCATTGAATATTATTTTATTTAAATTTACCAAAGAAATAAAAAACAGTTAATCACAAGCGCCAAAATGGACACTCAATTTTACTTTTCTCCGCACATACAGATTTTTTGTCACATGTTTGTCTGTTTGTCTTATATTTCCCAAACAGTCTCTTGTCAATTTTGTACAGTAACATATTTTTCTAAAAATTAAAGTGGATTACTTACCAGTGTTATCAATAAAACAGTCGGTCGGCCTCCTATGGTGTAGTGGCTGTAGTGCTAGCTCTATGATCGGGAGGTCTTGAGTTCGATTCCCGGCCAGGCGACCCAAGTTTGATAGTCTCAAATAATGGTTGCCTGGGACTGGATGTAGGGATGGAGGGGGACAGGACTAAAGCGCAAAGATTAGCACTTGTGGACTATTTGAAGTAGGAAAAAAAAAAATTACCTAAAGCAGATGATGCGAGTGTCTAAACATGTATTCCAAATTTCAAGTTCTTTTTGTGTTTATAATAGCTATGATTAAATCTTTCCGTTTTACATTGGTCTTATTGATATTAGTTCTTATTTGGCTCTTATGTTAATTTGACCGGAAGGTGACAAAATGGCGCTTGTGATTCTTTGGTGGGAAGGTGACAATAAACTGATCATTCTTTGTTCTTTGAAGATGAAAGATTTTTTTGTCACATGTTTGTCTGTTTGTCTTATATTTCCTAAACAGTCTCTTGTGAATTTTGTACAGTAACATATTTTTCTAAGAATTAAAGTGGATTACCTACCAGTGTTATCAATAAAACAATCTTTTATGTCATGTTCCCCCTAGTTTTTGTGGAGCTTTGAAACAAGATATGTGTGCACATCATGTGTAGTAGTGACAAGGAAGGGAGACTCTTGCGTAGAAGAACTTAAAATTAAATATTGGTACTTTCGTTCAGAGGGTTGTTCTACCAACATTTTTACCAGAAACTTTCGAAAAATTTGGAACCAGTATGAAGTCATGATATTTAAATTTGAATATTCGAAAACCGCCATTTTTTCGAAGTATACTATGTAGATCATATTCAGCTGAAGAGAATCAATAAACCACAGTGTCATAAAAATCGTGTAACTTAATGTCTAGCTCAAAAATACCTAACAGCTCCAATTCTTTTAGTTTTTCTGCTAAAAAATCGTCAGTTTTAATAAAAACTATCGTACGTATTTTATCAACAGAACATGCAATCAATTTTGTTTGAAGCAAAGGTAACATTGTATGATTTTGACAACACAGTAAATCCGTTGGTTCTCCACTGTTAAATTATTCATATACTGACCACATGAAAAAGAACCTCAGTCCGCAAAAACTTGTAGTTGAGTCTTTGATGTCGGAGCATAAAATACCCAGAAATGAAAAAAATCAAACCAAAGTTACGGCTGTTCGAAGTTCACAGTTCAGAGGACAAAGTTTTGAAAAGTTATTTAAAATCAAATCCCTCGCATTCTGAGCACGAAATTGCAGAATTACATTCAAATTTTTGCTCTCAACTGACTCATTAATCAAGTACTTTAAACCCAATTGTCATTAACTGGAACAATAAGGCTAATGATGGTGCAACTACGAAACCATGGATCTTGATTTCAATGTTTGAAAATTTACCATTGTATTTTATTTTTCAAGGCAGTACTGCTCGACATTTTTGCGTTAAGTTTTCAGAAAATACTCTTGAGCGAACAAGTAAAAATCAAATGATGAAAACAATGAACCAAGCTTCCTTCACAAAACTTAAATGAAATAAAATATTTGCAATGTCAATTCAGAATCGTTGTTCGGTATGTTCACCTTCGAAACGTTTCAAGAGAGCAAGTTTTTCAAGTTGGGTTGAGAAGTTGAACTTCAGTTCTTGACAAAAAATGTTGCCAGTATCCCCACAAATAAATAAGGATGGAATTAAAAAATGAGTAAACAAGGCTGAAACATAAGAAAAACTGAAAGACGGGACGTTTCGAGCTGTTACCAGCTCAGTTCCAGCTGCAAAAAACTCAAAAAAAAAAATAATTAAAATTGAGTGGCAACCTGACCCGAGCCGTTATTACGTAACCACTCAACGGGTTACTGAGTAGTTACGTGATTATGGCTGGGGTCAGAACGCCACTCAATTTTTTTGCGTTTTTTGCAGCTGAAAATGAGCTGGTAACAGCTCGGAACGTCCTGCCTTTTAGTGTTTTTAATGTTTTAGCCTTGTTCACCCATGTTTTAATTCCATCCTTAATTATTCGCACATTCGGGCTATGTTTTTGTGCTTTATCGTTATTCCCACAAATGACTTGCGAGTGGTCAGTGTTTTACCATTTCAAGACTTTGAACTTGCATCATGAGCCGACATTTTTAAGAGTTTGTGATAGTGAATAAGCACTTTAAATGAGACTTTGGTCCAGGGAGGCCACATCAATGCGCCAAGTGTGAGATGTGAGAGTGCATTAAGAAGAAAGTCAAGAAAGAAATAGATCAGGGGGAAAGGAAAAATGAAGAAGAAGAACTCATGATGTCTGTCTTAAGAAAGGATTAATTCTATGAGTACTTAAACAACTAATTTTGAGTTCTGCCACACAGGATAGTTCATTGAAGTATCTTCAGCATTTTTTATCTATATTTGCTAACTTCAAAAACATGTGCCTCAATGGTTGTAATATTTATAATGCCTCATTATTTTCTCTCTATGTTACAACATTACAATAAAAGTTACAATCGAGATACGCAGTGCTAGAGTTCAGCCTTTTGTAATGGTGGCTAAAGTTAAAAAATACAAATCTCCGCAAATATATCTTTTTAAACGAAAATTAAAGAACCTTTGTTCTTGAAATTTTCTGTGTATCTTCCTCACACATTTTAAAATATTTTCAGAAAATTTTTAGATTTTTTGGCTCGTTTTATTTTAAAGAAATAAAACGTACTTCGAGAGTTTGAAACACTGCAATGAAGATACGCATTTCGATTTAACCATCGACTTGTAAATTGAACCAGTTCAAGCGAGAAGTCATTTGTAAACAGTTTTCGTCGCAGACCCATGTCGTGAGCGGCAAATTTGTTATACCGCCGAAATATTTGAATTTGGCTCTTCTGCCCGACTCCGACCAACAACCAATCAGATTCGAGGACTAGAATTACAAGCAGTGTTACCGTGTCTAGCTTGTCTAGCTTGCTTATTTGAAAGCCTTTATCTATTTTTGGAATTTGAAGGAAAGAATTTGAGAGATAGATTTTTTTTAAAAACTATTTAATGACTCAGTTCTCTGATTACTGGCCATTTCAAGTGAAATATCTTGAAAATATTTTCGTTGGAATTCAAGTTTGTCATTACAGAGCAATTTGGCAACTACATCTCTGCAGCATTATTTCGTGCGGGGCGGGCGGCGAGTTGTGAATCGTAAACACAGAATTCCGAAACACATAAAGTTCGGGAATTCACACTTTAATATCTCATGATTCTCTCACGATCGTGCATACCTTGAATATCGCAGACTTATCCGGTCAACAACGCACTATTCTCAGCTACTTTTATTCCCCACTCTGAAAGTTTATCTCAGGTAAGTTGACTTTTTGCCGCAATCATGCCACTATTTCCACTCGGCCTTGACTTGATTTCGATTCTCGCCAAAACCTTTCGCTTGAATGAAGCGAGTCATTAATCTTGAGTTTCATTATTTTTCAGGAATGATCACTGATTTAATGCACAAGTTCCTCCTCTCTGAAGCAGCTTGTCAAGAGGTAAGAATCTTTTGACGTTTGTAACAGAACCTAACCTACAAATTTTTGCTACTCCACCTTATCAGCAATGGAAATGGAAACAGGTGCTCAAGTCGATCGGACTTTGACTCCGATTTTGACTGTCACTGATAGGGAGTGTACCCTCCCAAGATAATGCTATCTATTTTTAGTCCAATGCAGCGGTGGATGTGTGATGTGCGTGTTGCATTGATAAGGTACATAACACAGCATCAGCACTTGATCTGTGCGTAGGCTCCATGAGCTGTAGTGCTGCGTTTTCTAGATTCCAGTGTTTCCTTATTGTTCCATATTATTCGAAAGTGTGTTGAAAGGCTCTGAGCCACGAGTGGTTTGTCCTTTCATTTTTAATTAACTTAAAATTGGAAAACCCTATAACGGAGCCCTCTGGATATAATGCCTGCGGTAAGTGCATGGGATGTACTTATTTTAGCATTGTATTCACCAAATGCCGAAAAAAGTTCATGAGAATCCTCCCAAGTTAAGTTTTCAGTATATTGCAACTATGAGAGGGCAATTTAAACTACAGATGTGAGAAATGCCCACAGCAGCCTAATCACAAGATTACTCGTAGTATGCCGAGGGATAGTTATTGGATAGCTGGTTAGGAATCAAACATGCTCTTGTTTACTAAGTAGATTCAGATTGGCTTTGGTCATACAGGATTCGTGCTCTTTGAGTGCAGGAAGGAAAAGATCACCAGTAGAAGGAAGTCTGCAATGCTGATTAAAAATCTCAGTAAGTGAATTGATGGACATATTTTCAATCCCATAAATTTTCCATGATCAACCAATTTTCTGAGGGAACGGCAGTGCACACAGTGTCTTACAAGGTGACTAAAGTTAGGAAAAAATTACATTCTTAGGAGTGACAAATTTTCATGAGATGACTCCCTTACTTAATTTTAGCTTGTTCTTTAGCCGGCTTGTGAAATACTGAGATTATTTAAGTCACCATACTAAGTTATCTGGGAAAGTCAGGAAATTTTCTTAAAAATGGCTTGGAAATAACGTGTCAGGGAATTCGAACTTCAGATTCATGGTCACCCCAGACAGTTCCTTCTCAGGGTCTGTTAATGGAAGTTCAATTTTAAATAGCATTATTCACACCCTCACTTTCTTGAAAAATTCCTAATTGCAGTCTCGTCTCAGGGGGAATGGTACTTCGAAAAATCGTATATTCATGAGCCCCTGCATTATGCAAATAAGTCAGTTACACTAAAGGAGAAAAAATTTACCGCTGAATTTCTCATAGATAACCTTTCACTCTCACATTGATAAGTAAGTAGTGATAACTTTAATTATAAATTTTTCCTCTTCCGTGGGCCAATCTTACAGCATTTCTCTCTCCTGATGAAATATTCAATGCGGCTTGGCTTTTAAATGCTCCTAAGTGAAGAAGATGTAGGGTAAGGATAAACAAAGAATCTGAATCTTTTTTGGCTCTTTCAGTTGAGCTTACATTTCGTTTCACAGAAAAAATTTGTTGTTAAAAGTTGTTTGAGAAGTTAAATAGAAGCAGCGCCACTGTGAAATGTAGGCACCTCACAGGTTCTGAAAGTCCTGAAAAAGTCCAAAATTTTTATGACCGGTCTGGAAGTCACGAGTAAGTCCGCAAATTTCATTCGAGGTCCCGAAAAAATTAAACATTTCCGCTTTTCATGCGTCATCATAAACGGATCAAATCAGCGAATCGAGAGCGCGAGGTTTTGCCAAGAACTCGAACTTCAGAAAGCCAAGATTCTCCTTCATTTTTTCGTGATACTACATACCTACTCCGAAGTTCGAATAGTTGCGCGCTTGATTTCCGCATGTAATGATACCAGCATTGATACTTATATACATTCATGAAAGTTAGTAATTTGATAAACAAATCAGAGTTCAATTAAAATGAAGTTATCCTAACTACTCGCACATCAGCCTAAGAATTTCAGGAATCAGCTGTAATGTTTGAAAAATAAGAAGTCACTCTGGTTTGCCATCGGGGGCTCCCCGATACCACATACATCCCATGGATTCCTTCAATTATCAGCA